TGTAAATGTACCTAAAATAATGAAAGTTGGTGTTTTAATTAAAAACATTTATGGGTATAAATTCCATATTATGAATTTAATTGATGATTTTATTATTGAAATTCAGTGCAACAAAATTTGCAAGATTAAATCTGAATAGAGTTAGAGACTAATTTATATATTATATATAAACTGTTTTACTATCTTTGCTTTGTAGCAAAAATTCCATTGCTTTCTCCATGTGACAGTACTCTACTAGAATTGTTAATCTTGAGTATTTTTTTTTATTAAATGTAAATATTAATAAATTAATTTAGCCATTGAAAAACTAAGATGATAAAATGTTAGAGTACTCGAATCTAATGGAAGCAATAAGTAGATGTACACTCGCATATAAGAGATATCAAATTATATCAGTATTTAATTTTTTATTAATAAAATTTATTTTTAAATTATTGATTAAATTAAAAATTCATTATCATATATGTTTTATTTATAAAATTTTAAATTAATATAAAATTATTTAATATATTATTTGTGTACGTAAATTTAGTAATTAATATAATATATACTTTAAAAATATATAAAAATAAGAATTTTTTATTATATTTTTATATTTGTGGAATTTTGATAAATTTAATATAAATAATGAAAATAATATATAGTTATAATTCCATAACAGAATAATATATTTTAATTAGTTAATGGTGTTAAAATTTTATACTAATAGTACATAATATTAAACTTATTATATAACTACAAAATTACTTTTATGTTTTATAATTCATATATAATTATATGTTAACAACTCCTTGTTCCTTCGTCTAACGACAGCCATTGATAGAATTCTTAATAAAATAATTAATTGTGATTGTCGCGCAACTTCGATCCGCCGCACATTTCTTTATAATAAAATCAAAATGGGGTTAAAATTTTAAAATATATTAAAGTGTCAACCAATTTATATAACAACTTAATATAATAAAATCAAAGTTGATTTATATATTGGCCTGCTGTATGTTAATTTTCTTCGTTCCTACTGCATCCAAAAACCTGAAAAAGATAGGGTTTAAGAGATGAAAGAAGCTTGTGATGATAAATTTATACTGACTAAGCGACAATTTTCTTACTTAAAATATTTCAAAAACAAATCTGGGAACCATCGTTTTCATTCGAAAGCGATTCCAAATTTAAAATAGAAGAGCCAAAGAGTTTTCCAGCAGCGATTCTGAAAGGTATCAGAGACTACTCTGTTATATATACTTTCAGATTCGAAACTATCCATTGTCTATATTTTTAAAAATTAATTAATGATCTATGCGAATAAAATATTTGAAAATGGAGCTCGGTCTTTGAAACAAAAGAGCAAACGATTTTCAAAGAATTTCCACAAGCAACTTGGGCCACATGCATGTCTTTCGGTCAATAACAGGAAAACTAGAAAAGGTGGGGCAAGAGCCAAATCGAACAGTACGCAAGTTGAGGAAACAGTTGGATTGGTATGCAAAAAGCATATGGTCGTTAGTTTGGTGATGAACTTGTTTATATGATGTATTCTATATATGCGACAGTTTCTTCCCCCCTCACGATATCATATTGCATGTGTTTTTTATGATAAGCTTCAACCCTAAACACATTTGAGACTTCAAGTATGGTCAATGACGTTTAAAATAATGAAAAAGAAAGCAATCACCAGAAGAAAACTAATCAAAGTTCGGCTGGTCAATTTTGTTGCTGTTAACCCGACAGGCCTCAGTCAATTTAGAGTAGGTAAATAGTTATTGTTATAGTTATTAATATTAATATTTAATGATGTATTTTTACAATATTCTTTTTACTGGTGTGAAAAGTCAATGCCTTTGATAAGATTGCCTGCTATGGATCTCTGCAGCCATGCTTTCTTTCCAGCAAAAAATTACTATTTTGAAATATAAATAAAACTTAAAGTCATTTGGTTTTTACACAAAACTGGCATCTGTGTATTTTCTAAATAAGGTTAAATTACTCATTAGATTTATATTTCATGACTAAATGAGCTCTTACAGACTAAAAAATAAAAATAAAAAGGTTGATATTGTTTCCAAACAATATAAAAAAAAATCATCGCTCTATTTTTCAAACAAAGTAATATTATGTTCGTATAAAGTTCTACTCTAAATAAGGAATAAACCTACTTAATAGGAGTATGTTACATAATTTGAAAAATATATTAAAAAATTTTAAAACTCTTTAAGTCATAGAAATTAAGTGTAATAAAATTATGTATCACACTAAGGCGTTGCCTTTCCCAAAAAATGGTTAAAACTCTAGAGATATCCGTGTACGACTTAATTACACCATTTTCTTTTATAAAAGTTTAACTAATACAACTTTTACACCATTAAAGTGACATATAATTATAAAAATATTCTTCATAATTTGCATAGTATTTTTAGAAAATAATAACTTATCAACCTAAATATATATATTATAAATTTGACTCTATTTTTTAAATATATAGACATCTTTTATCAGACTCTCTTTTTCTTCATTACTCATGATTCTACTATTTATTTCATTCTTATTTTATGTTTCTTAAAATTATTAGTTACTTCCAAATATAATTTAGATACAATTTTCATCCAATCTCAACTATTACTATTTATTTAATATTCATTTTTTATCTCAAATTTCAATCACTTTAACTCTTAAATTATTTTTATTTTTTTAACGTACTTTTCTTTTAAATATGAACTATTTATATTTTTTAGTTATTTATTTGAACAAATAATTTCGATTTATCTATATATTTTTATATATTTTAGTTTATTTTATTTTTTAAAAATTAATTAAAAATAGATTTAATGTAGCTAATACTTGCCCATATTAAACACAGTTAGGGATAATATTTTTTCCTCATCATCTGGACATTCATGTGGGACTGCTCTATTTGGGGTCCCAAATTAAATTATTTTCCATTGTGGTAAAATTTTTTTGAGGAAATAGATTTTGGGACAAGAATGAGAATCATATCTGCCTCATTTTTATTTTCAAATATTTTAAAAAATAAATCATATATACACAGACAAACTTCACACAAATATGTTTTTAACTCTTTTTCCTCAATTATCAGTCTATAAATGTACTTCTAGTATTTTTCTTAATATAATTAATGTCTAAATTTATTTTTCATAATTTAAAATTTATTAAATGAGACTCGTTTTTGTTATTATTTTTTATAATAATAATATTATTATTTATAAGTTACATTTTTCTCTCATAAAAAATCCATATATTTCACTATCCTTTCTTCTATTTTAAAATTATATAACCATCTCTCATAAAAATTTGAAATCCATCACAATTTAATCTTTTTAAATTTTTTTATTAAACTACTGTTAAAAAAATAATAGTCTAATTTTTATTAAATTTATTTTATACGTACAGTTTAGTTTTTATTTGTATTCCTTAATTGTCCTTTTTTCATATTTTATTTTTATAATATATTAAAGCTGCAAGTCATTTATATCTTGTATATTTTTATTAAAAGTAAGTTTTTTTTTTTTAATTTTGTTTGAGACAAACCTTTAAAATTCTTATAATAATGAAAAGTGTCTATTATGTTTACGAAAAATACAATAAACTCTTTGAAAATTTTAAAATATTGATAAAAAGTGTTAAATTTATTAAAAAGAATATTTTAATAAAAATAATTATCAAATGAATGTTTTAACAATATTTTGAAAAGGCTTAAAATGAATTAAAGTAAGGTTATTTTAAATTGTCAAATAAGCATTTACTGGTCATTAAATTTCTTAAAATTTTAAAATTAAATATTTAAATAAAAATTTTAACTCATAAAATTATAAATTTTTTCAAAAAATAATTACTCCCTTAAAATTCATCCAAACACGTTGAATGTGTTTAATAAGGTACTTCAACTAGCTGAAAGTTTACCTTGTTATTTGAAAAGATTTATTTAATAAAAATAGCTGCATTTGATAAGGTGTTTTTTAACATTATTCTAACTCATTATTCTTTAAAAAATATATTTCAGATATTAGCTAATTTTTTTTAAATATTTATCTTTATTATTTTTAAATAATTTTTTATCGCTTCAAATTCAAAACTTTTTTACCTTTTTCTCTTTCACATTCAACTTTTTAAAACCCTTTAGTCATTAAATTATAAAGTTTATATTTTAGACTAAAAATTAATTATGTTCTTATCTATTATTTTATATTTACTAATTAGTTCAACAACTATTTTTACCTAACACTTTCAATTTAATACGATAATTTTTTAACTTTTAATTAATTTATCCGTTACTTTTACCAAACACACTCTTAATAATTATTTTCTTAATTTATATATTTTTTAATTAAGAACGTATTTATTAACATTAATTTCAAATTTATTTATTTAAACACAGGCGTGCACACATCCCACGGTCCGAGACACCCGTCAAATTTTTAAAATATTTAGTACTAGATAAAATCCAAATTAAAATCATATCATATGTGACATGTCAAGTAGCAAATCTCTCTCTCTCTCTAAGTTTTTTTTTTCATCTATTTTTTTAATTAAAGAGGAAGACCAGTAGAACAAGAACAAAAAGAAAATAATTTATTTCAGTCCTTGCAAATTAATTTGAATTCTTTTCACTCCCTAAAGTAACTTCAATTTCACTTAGTGTTTGATAAAATTATTTTTAAACAATAAATGAGATGTATGTTTGAATTAATTTCAGTCATAAATTTATATCAAAACATAGTTTTGTTAAAAAATACAAGAATTAATTTGTATGAACTCAATCGATCATGAGCATCAAAATTAAGTACCAGGATGTGAGAATCAAAACAGTGACCAAAAAATTGGAATCAAAATCATATCATACTTGTTCATTTACTGGTCTCTAACTATAATTAATCCAGTATAGAAAGAATAATCTATCATCTGAATCTTGACTAGAAAACTAAATATAAATTCTCCGAGAGACTGTGTTGTGAGCCATTATCTATCAAAACGGAGGCCACCGGAAATCAAACAAGAAAATGAGAGGCATCTTTGGTGGCACATGAACCCAAAAAGCACTTGTCATTTTGCTCGTATTTGAGTTCCTCTTCATGATCCTCTACTTTATAGTCTTCACTAGGATCAGATGATGTGAGATCCTTGGCTCTTTGTGCTTGACCATCCCAATTTGTCCGTGCCAACACCAGCATCATTGTCATCATACAAGACCCTTGCGCTGCCAACAAACCCACCCACAACCCTTTGAAGTCAAATCCCGCAAAGAAACCCAACCATACTGCAACTGGCATTCCCACCAGATAGAAACACACCAAGTTTATGTTTGCTCCCAATTTGGGTCTTGCCGTTCCCCTCAGAACGCCACAAACCGTCGTTTGTGGACAGTTCCCTAATTCACAAAGCCCAATAATCGGTAACACCATACACGTCAACGCAATTATCTCTTCATCCTGCGTGAACATACAAGCCCAAACCTTTCTCACGGAAACGGCAAACGTCAAAGCACAGAACCCCAAAACGAAGCTGAAACAGAGTCCCACAATCGCCGCGAGCTTCGCTTTCTCGGGATTCCCTGCACCCAACTCGTTCCCAACCCTCGTTGACACCCCAAAGCTCAAAGAAGACGGAAAAATGTATATCAACGCCGTCGTTTGAATCAAAACCCCCATTGATGCAACACTTGCATGTGGATTAACCAATAACCCACAAAGCAAAATCATGATCTCGTACCACCACCATTCGAGACAAACCGAAATGCAGCTCGGAATCGCGAGATTCATGAGTGTCTTAAACCCCTTTAAGCATCCCCAAGAAACACTAGGCCACGTTTTCTTGTGTGTTCCCGAAAGCAAGATGTAGATAATCAACGATCCCACGAGGTTGAAATTCGTCCAAACAGCGCTTAAAGCGACACCTTTGATTCCAAGCTTGAGAACAGACACGAGGAGGTAATTAATGGGAACGTGGAGAACGATAGAGAGCGCGGCACAGCATGTGAGTGGAAGGGTTATTGATTGGGTTCGAAGGTAGATTCTCAAAGGGTGTAGCAGCGATTGTGCTATGAGATCAGGGAGAGAATAGAGTATATAGAATTGGGCTTCGTTGGCGATATCCTGTTCTTGACCACACAAGAGCAATAGTTTCTTCATGTTGAGCCATAGGAAGGAGATGAAAAGTGAAGTTAGGAGAAGAAGAAGCACGGTTCTCTGCACGGTGAGGCCGAGAAGTTTTAATCTTTTGGCACCGAAGGCTTGGCCGCAGATGGGTTCCATCCCCATGGCGAGGCCAGAGAGAACAGAGTAACCAGTGATGTTGGCGAATCCAATGGCTAAAGAGCCACCGGCGAGAGCGAGTTCACCGAGGTGACCCAGGAAGAGCATGGAGATCATGGAACGAGAATAGAGTAAAAGACCGGTTAAGATCATAGGGAATGATATGTTCGCCATGCACTTGGCTTCATTGAGGGCCAGAGACAAATGGATGTTACGTTGACATCTTGTTGGGGATTTTGGGATCAAAGTGGTGAACATGTTGGGCTCTTCCTGTACTTGGGTTCTCCATACATTTGGGTGGCCCTCATTCCTTTCAGAGAAAGTTGAGCTAGAGGGTAACTGGGGCATGGTTTCGCACTCACACTCTCACAGGAGACAAGAGAGAAAATTACTCAATATTGGTGATTTGTTGCATTTTCTCAAGAGTGTCACATGTGGGGTTTAAAAGGGAAATGTTCCACATTTTTGGAATAGTTTGGAGTATTGCGCAAGCCTCACATAAGGTCCACCCCCGCACTGTCATTACACCCTCCATTTACCACATCAAAATCAAACACTAATTTTATTTTTTTACTTTCAATTCCAAGCGTATTTCTATGACCAACCAATACCATCTATGATACATGGAAAATGACACTTTTAGATGTTCTCTCTGTATCTGGAGTGAATAGAAAAATATGAAAATTAGTTTAATTTAGTGATATAACGGTGCATAATTAAAAGATACTTATATATATATATATATATATATATATATATATATTGAATAATTAAATAATAAAATTAGTGATAGATATGTCCCTGTTGGGCCTGCAAACACAGAATGGCAGGAAAGGTGGTGGTGGAGGGCGAAGCGCACTGAAGTTGCAGGAATATAAACGAATGAATGTATCAATTTGGCCAAAGAATAAGTCAGAGGAGTACAAAAGAGAAAAATGGTTTGAATGGCAATTAAATTTTGAGTTCTTTTTGGGCTTTGATTAGCTCACGCATGAACATGTCTAATCTTAAATATCTTTTACCTTCAATTTATGAATGTTACCGGGAGAAGGGGCGAAAAAAAGAGGGACGTTTTGGACAGATGCACCCGAAAATAGAGAATATTTAATTTTAAGTTTGGACCTTTTTGGGAGAGGCCTCATTGTGAATAAATGGTAGCTACACTTATCTATTAATTAGAGTTTTTGTTTTCTTTTAATGAAAAAAAAAGGTTTTTATATATAGTATTAATGTGAAATCAATGCCATGTCGGCACTTATTAATAGGAATTAAACCCACCTTGGTAAATCCCAGCCACATAATTTGAAATCCAAAATTCTTGCAACATTTGCTAAAACGTTGTATTGCTTCAAATTTAGCCCCAAAAGAGAATTGTAATTATGAAGACTTTAGGGCTTTATTCCGTTTATGGAAATGGAGGCGTCAGAATATTTGACCCTATCACATTTCTTCTACGCGCTATTCTGGAGAGAAGATAATTGTCCAAAATGGTATCACATTGATGAAATATTCAGCTTAAGGAAAATAATTAATATTTGACGTATGACTGGGTGGTTAATATTAATTTATCTCATTTTTTTCTTTTTTTATTTTATATACAGTGTTTTATATTTTACTTTATTATACTAGTTAATTACCTGTGTCATGTATGGATTTATTCATATGTAATATTTATGATAATAATTAATTAATTAATTAATATTTAATATATTTTGATTAAAACTAATTAAATTTATTCCAATTAATACATATTTAAATATATTTATATAAGATTTACTTTAATGTTTTAACATTTAAAATTAAATGGTAACCAAATTGTTGTATAAAAATGATTTATTATTATACATTTTAATACTCATTTTCATATTAAAAAAACATTAGTAACTTACTCTAACATACTTTTTTCATATATTTATTATTAGTTAAAAATTATTAAAAATATAAAAATATTAAATTAAAAGTGAAATAAACGTAAAAAAATATATTATTATGATTATGAATTTGATATGCATGTGATATTGAACTTTAATTTTTTTTTCTTTTATGTTTTTGGAGTAGAAATTATAAAATAATGAGACGCACTCCAAATACTAAATTTTATATACAATTAAAAAATATTAAAAAATAAGTCATAAGTTTCATTTAAAAATAAGTGAAATATAAAAACAAAAATCACAAGTAATATAAGAGATAATTGAGACTTTAAATCTGTTGAATAAAAAAAAAACTGATTACATTATTTTCTGTATACGAGACCCATTTTAATTAATTGATGAAAAAAAATTATGAAACAAGGATCTGATTTAATTGAAATTATTTATAGAATTAATTTAAAAAAATAATTGATTGTATGTTTAATGTTTTTCACGAACTAAATGTTCCCTTTTAAGTAAAAATTGAATGTCTCAGTGCATGTTTTTTATATTATATTTAAATTTTTTTATAATTAATTATTTATATTATATCATTAATAACATTAAATAAATATTTATTTATGTTAAGTATATTCTATAAATAGAATTAAACTTTATTTAAAAATATTAAATTATCGATTTAATGCCTAAAAATTTATTTCATAATAAGTTAATTATGAAAAAAAAGTGTAAAATATATAATAATAAGAAAGAAATAAAAAATTTGAATTATAAAAGGTTAAAAAATAAAGAAAATAAATAAAATTTTAATGCAAACAAACAAAGTAATAAATTAAAATAAAATAAAATGACATATGAATTTTTTAGTAAAACGGTTTAAAAATTAAAAAGAGAGAGAAATAGAAAATGCTATATATGGTTTTTAGTGGAAGAAGATTAGCAATATATGTAAATGATATATTTATTGCTGAGAAATCTAAAATAAATGCAAACAATAAATGGTAAACTGAGTTATATAATAATTAATTTTCATAGAAAATAAATTAATTTCAAATAATTTAATAAATTGATTTGTGTAATGTATATAATTTAAATCCATATAACATTTAATGAATGAACTGCTTGATTTAATTATTAATGAATTTAAATTAACATAAATAATCATGTGAAGTAATATATTATGAAACATTTTAAAATATTTTGAGTGGGAAATTGAATAACTCATTGATTGATAAAAAGAATAATTAATTTCATAAAATTTAATAAACTTATGACTGTGGTATGTAATAGTCGAAGTCCTATGGTATTTAATGATTTTAAAAATATATATACAAATTTTTTTTAAACCCTAAACCCTAAACTTTGGAAGTGATATTTTATTTATTTTCATTCTTAAATTTATTCTATGTGATTAAATTTTTTAAAGTTAACTTACTCACAATTTTTTTTTTATCAAAATGTAAGTAAAATAATAGTGTAATGTAAGCAAAATTAACGTATTTGATGATTGAATTATATATACTAATAATTAATCCTGAAAACTCATTAATTATACAAATAAATAAATAAAATATGAGCAAGTTGATATATTCAAGGATTAAATTTTACAGAATAAAACATTTAAAGATAAAAAGTAAATATTCTTTCATTTTCAAGGATCAATTCATGTACTTATTCTAATGGTTTTGTTGAAAAAAATGTTATGGAAGAATTATTTAATAAATAATTTTTATTATATTGTCAAATTTTAAAAAAGTTAAAATAAATTTTATAATTGAGAGAATTTTATATAATCTCTTATGCATGAAACAATCGTTAATAATATTTTTTAATTTTTAAGATATTAAAAGAATTATAACCGTTAATTTAAAAAATATTAAATACTCATTCAAGTTTAGGAAAAGTGAAACAAGCACTAATATTAATTTATGAGGCAAATATTTTTTTAAAATAAATAATTATAAATTTTTTAGGCCAAAAACTGAAATACTTGATAATTAATTATAAAAAAATAATTTCATAAACTTAATAAGCTGATTACCATTATATATAAAATTTAATTTTATAATTTAGTTTATTGATAAATTCAAGTTGACATAATATATACGTATACGGGTGTATTTAAAAATATAATTTAAATAAATACTTATTAATCATTTTTTTGTTACACTATATATTTCATCGTAAAATTATTTAGAATAACTTGAAAATATATTATTATTTATATGTTATATTGAATAGTTTATTAAAGAAAACTTATGAAAGTAATAAAATTATTTTTTATAAATTATTCTAATTAAACAAGGCCTATTTTTATATATTTGTTTAGAATTAAAAACACTTAAAATTGTGATTTAAATGCATTTTATGATTCTCTAATTTAAGTTGTGAGATTTTGATTCTTTTAAATTTTTTTCCTAAACTAATAAAGTCTCTTTATATTTAAAATTATAAAAATTTAGTTGTCATCATTTTTTAAAATAAAATTTTTAAATTTTTATTTTGTAGTCAAAATTTTTATAAATTGAATTAATTAAATTCTTTTATATTAAAAGTTAATCGATCAAAATGTCAATTTTTTTCTTAAAAAAATGTTTATGCAAATCATAATATCTCAACTTTAAAATTATTTCAAGTTTGTCATTTTTTTGTTTTTTGTATTCTTAATTTATTAAAATTATTTTATGTAACAATTTCTTTATAATCAGCTTAAAATTTGTATATAAAAGGCTTTTATTGGGTTTAGATTGAAACCCTTCATACCTGCCGATTAAGTTGATTTAGGATATTAGAAACTGTTTAAACTTCATTAAATGCATTAGATTAAGACACATATGTAGAGAAGCCAATTTATGTACTGACAACCTTGCGAAAGCTAATTTGAAAAGACTTTTGTATGCTCCTTATTTTGAAGAAGTCCTGCCACCCTTCTGCCCTTTCTCTAGATGGACTTCCTAGGCATAGGGATGTATAAAATCTCCTTATAGTTAATGTTTTTTTAGACTTTTAACCCTTTATGTAGAAAAAAATTGTATATAAAATAAAAAAAATATTACAATCAATTTATAGTGTTGAATTTAAATATCTAATAATAATAAATTTTTATTTAAATAGTATATTTATTATACTATTTTAGATTCTTAAACTTATTTGTAGAGTCAACACCAATAAAACTTAGAAAACATTTAAAATTTTTAAGTAGAAAATATTTACACAAATTTTTAAAACATTAAAACAAGGATAATATCTTAAAATTTAAAATAATATAATATTATAAGTCTCTAAATTTAAATATTTGAAACTAATTATATAATAAATTAATTTATAAAATACAAGTTAGATGATTAAAGTAGATAAATATATTAATAATTATTTATAATTAAATAAAATATATATCAAATTAAAGAAAAATTTTATTATAATGTTATAGGACAAAATATTATATATAGTAGTAAATATTAAATTTTTAAAAAA